TGTAACCTTACTCTTCTGCTGAAATACACTGTATGTGTAATCTTGCTATCCTGCTAAGTTGCACTGCATGTGTAACCTTAACCCCTTGAAGCCGATGTCACACAAATATGCGGCCTCACAGAACTGGGCTTTTTTCCATGGGACCGCATATCTGCATACCTGTCTTTCTGCGCTCCCACCACAAAGACCACGGTGTCACTGAGAGCCCCGGATCCCTTTCTAACGATTGGGACCCAGGGCTCCTGATTCCAGGTCACATGATCGCTGTGATAGCCTCTGATTGGCTATCACAGTGATAAGTCACTGTACAGCCTGGCCCCCTTGTTTTTTTTCTCTCTATGAATGGAGGAGAGAGATATATTGTATCACTCTAACTCCTGGCATTGAGAGAAAAAAAATGTTTGTTGAAAAAAAAAAAAAAGATTGTTTCTGGGCTGTACTATGGGTACAAACAACAAATAACATACACATCTATGGTATTCTTGCAATCATCAAGAGCTGGAAAATGTATTTTGGGTTGTTTTTTGGTGGTAGGTTATGGTAGTAACAAGAAACACACAGCTAAATTTAAAAAAAATATATTTTTTTTACTATTCTGGGCCAGTTTTCCTTTGATAATAAAAAAAATCAGGAAATATCCATTACCATTTACGACCAAATGAAAGCCCAATTTGTCCTGAAAAAAACAAGGTATAATTCACCTGGATGTACAAAGTAGTTGTGATGATATGTACGGTTTTACTAACACGTCAATGTTGCAAAATTGTGCGCAGGCATTAAGATTTGTTTTACCCATAGGCGTGAAGGGGTTAAGCTGGCCATAGAGGGATTGAATCTCAGCCAGTTCAGCAGGGACTGGCCGATATTCGATACATCTATGGGCAGGCCATTGATAAACTTCGGTACACCTAGCATGTTGGATTTTTAGCATGTAATTATTTCCTGGTATACTATCTAAGGTCCATAGCTTACATTCATACTGTACATACACATACTAAGGCCAATTTAGTCAGGAGCCAATTAACCTACCAGCATGTCTTTGGAGTATAGACTATACTCTTATTCAAAAATGATATACTAATCTACTTTTTATTTTTATTTGTTTATTTTTTTGTTCAGGATCTATTTAATCACTTCCCGTCTGCCCTATAGCAGATATACTGCTACAGGGTGGCACAGGTGAGCAAAATCACATACATATATATGTGATTTCACATTTTGGGGTATGAGGCACGTGCACTCCCTAACAGCACCATCATTCGAGGCCGCGGCTGTCCATCACCAGGTCCCGGCCAGTGATTACTTGCTGGCGTCCGGTGATTGCTGAGCATCTCCAAAGGGGGGGAGAACTGTTAGTGAACAAACAGTTCTCCACCCTGTCAGCTCATGCACACTGCTTTTCATGGCTGTGCACAGAATGCCTGCTGCAGTCTCACTATAAGTCACTGATCATCACCATTACTATTAAAAAAAAAGTACAAAAACAAAATTTCAGTATATACACTGCCATTTGTAAACACTATAACTTTCACGTAAACCAATTAATTTACACATATTGTTTTTTTTTGCAAAGATATGTAGCAGAATACATTTTGGCCTAAATTTATATGAAAGTTGATTTTTTAATTTTTTTACTGGACATGTTTAATAGCACAAAGTCAAAAATATATATTTTTTTTTTGTCAGCCTTTTTTTTTTATAGCGCAAAAAATAAAAAAACACAGAGGCGATCAAATGCCACCAAAAGAAAGCTGAATTATTGGGAAAAAAGGGATGTAAATGTAATTTGGGTGCAGAGTTGCATGATTGCGCAATTGTCAGTTAAAGTAACGCAGCGCCGTAACGCAAAAAATGGCCTGGTCAGGAAGGGGGGTAAATCCTTTAGAGGGCAAGTGGTTAAATGATACCCAGACAGTTTTTTTTTGTTTGGGGTTTAATACCCTGAAAATCTGTTCATACATAAAAATATACAGTACATAGTATAATTAAAGAAGTCGGAAGTGACGAAACGCGTCAAGGGACATGACGTCGGACGTGAACATAAACCAGAAGTAGCGAAGTGGCCATCTTGAGAGAGGTTCTGTATACCATATGCTGTTACTGAATGGACACAATACTGATACATTGAGGAGATATGCGATTTTAAAGAAGTTTTCTTGTAAGCACAGTTTTAATAAAAGAGACCCATGTATAATACATACTACACTATATGGTCTTTCTCTTTTGACCTATGATATGATGTCCTAATGAGATTGGAGGCTGGATCAGTGTGGAATGAGAGTAGCCATTTCTCATCTATGCTAATGGGCATTTAACCTCCCTAGTGGTATGATTATGTTAATATTTCTGTGCTCAAAGCGGTAAATTTTTTTGCATGGAAATATGTCGTTTTTTTTATTGTAGGATTGTAATTTTTAGGAATAACTCACTGAAATCTGTCCGAACAAGAGTCTAGTAAACATCCCGGGGATGATAAAATTTGAAACACGAAATCATAAATGATAATATAATAATCATAAAAATAATAATATAATAATAATATATTTAATTTAATAATATAATCAAACCAAAAACACTGAAATTTGAAATAGAGCGCAAAGTTCACACATCACTGAACTTAGTCGCAAAATCGTTTTCAGTGTCTGATGACGAATTTCCCCACGAATCATTATCACTCAATTCTGCAAGTGGTTCTAATTTACTATTGCTGTTCTCTAGCTGGTCTAAAACCGATTTTTACATAAAGGGACGCTTTTTGGACGTCATGGACGCTTCTCACTTTCAAGGCAGAAAGAACGGTAAAAATGTAGGCAGGGCACAGGACAAAGCACTAGGGACAAAATGTATGTGAAATGCTTTGAAACAGTAATGTTTTACTATGTGATTTTAGTGTATTTAGTGAATGTTACTTTTTAAAATCTTTTAAGTTTCCGCCGGTTCCGTCCACCATACATCTCAATGCTTGCAGGGACCAGAACCCAGAAGAAGGATGCTGGCATCGGCCGGAGAAGATGGCCAGGGACGCTGCAGGAGGGACATCGCGGGAGCGCAGGACAAGGTAAATGAAACAGGGAATCCCAGAGCAACGCTGTAGTGTAATCCTGAGTATAGCTCTTGGCACTGATAATTAACCCCGAGCTACACTCGGGAATACCGCCAGGGAGGTTAAGTCAGGTAAGGTGCATGGTTTGGAAGATGGCGGCGAGTGGCTTTTGTTGCATTAGTGGTGTTGAAGAGGGGAGCACATATTATTATATGTTTAAAGGATACTACACTATCATATGTTTTCTCCAGAGGTATTCTTATGAAGATAAGGATGCATTCAAAGGATCAGTTTTTGAGTGGATTTTATTATGGAATAAGATTCAACGTTATGTAAAAATATTTTTAGGGTAAGAGTATTTTATCCAGCCACATAGAAGTGGACACTGGGTGATTAATGCAAATCTTGAACACAATATACACAGAGATTTAGAATATAAGCTTTATTTGATGTTTATGCAATAGGGATAATGCACTATATGTAATTTTTGTTTTTTTTTTAGGCACACGTGGATATTTAAAGAGTGAGATTTTTGGAGATGGATCAAGTGGAAGTATGAATTCTGAATAATATTTGAAGATTCACAGACGCTAAGAAAGTTTTATTTGACTTTGGACTTTTGGGGGAGAAAGTGTGACTTTTTGTGTGTCTAGGGTGTTATATATATATCATTTTGTGGGTATACTGATTTTTGCAATTCATATATAGTATAATTAATTTTTAAAAAGGTAATAAAATGACAAGAATAAAAATAGATCTTTTGGCACATAAAAATCTTCAGAACTTAGAAACATAACTTTAAAATGGCTTTACACTCTGTATATCAAAGCTTAAACCAGCATATGAAGGCTACCTAAGCAGGCCTTTGCTTAGCTTACCACATAAGAAACTGCTATGATGTGTCTGAGCTCAATATTGTCCTCCCTTTGATATTAGTATATGTTAAGTCTCTGTGTTAAGCTGGGTAAACATGTATCAAAATTCATCCAGTTTAGAAGGAACCAGCAGAATTTCGATCTATGTATACCCATATCTGTTCAACAGAAACTGATGGCTTCTGTCGAATGGTCCTGCTGAAAAAACAGCATTTGATAAGCCGATGCAGCCAATGGTTAGAGGGAATCCTGTGCTGTCAGAATGCTATAGTGAAGTAGGGGAGATCCCTGCATCCACATTCTTTGTGTGGATGTGGGAATCTGTGAGTGTTTTTTTCATACAACCCACTGGTTGAATGAAAAAAAAAACAAAAGCAAAGTGTATACCCAGCTTTAGTTATACTTTCCTTTACCAAGGCAAGTAACATAGCTGTGTCACTGTTAACTATTATTTTATTTTTGTTTTCTATATTTCACATACCTGTGACCTGTATTTCTGTATTTTCACTTCATCTATTTCACTTTTGTCCCCAACCTCTAATATTTTATCAGCTAGTACCGTGTTTTATTTATCTTCCTTGTGATAATTTTATTTGCTTTTATCATTCAAGTGTAAATTCAAAATATTTCTACGCTTGGTGTACACTTGTGTGGGAAGCAGCACTCTAATGGTCTGAATAAATAAAAAAAAATGATCTAAAATTAATAGGTGCACTTACCCGATTTATGTGCCACTTCATGGCATATAAATCGAGGAAGTCACCTTTCAGTGTTAGACTTCTATTATTCATCCTGCCTATTTATAAACTACAATCAATTTTTTTTGTATTTCTTCCTGATTATTTTTCACACAATAGATCACTAATTGCCCAGTTGAAATATGCAAATTGCCATCAATAGGGTTTGTGTCACTGTGACCATTTTATATTGAAGGCTCATTATTCTTGATAGTTAAAAACTCATAAATGTGTTACTTATTACTAGGAAAAATTACTATAGCAATAATAATTATTAAGCCAACTCTTTTAAAGGAGAAAATAACAATGTAAATGAATGTCTCCAAATAATGGTGTGGGCTACTTACTGCTGTAAGTTAGGTGAAATCCAATGTCAGTGTCCGATCCATTTGTATTAAATTCTATCCACAAATGATTTGATGTACTGTTGAGTATTAGCTTTAATAGCTCATTTTTTGTAAAGGCACCTAGAAGCCGGGAAGAACTCTGTTTTCCATCATAAACCTTAAAGAAAAGAAGAGTATATTAAGGGTAAATAAAACATAGAACAAAAATGTTGTAAAAAAATTCCTAAAATTGTGTTCAATTCAAGTACTGTTATAGTAGCTCCAAGATTAATTGTGTTATCAAGTGTTACATTTTGACAGGTCAGATGAAGGATCCAAACATTTCATTGCTGTCATGACTTGTACAATCAATTATGCTTTCAAATATTTTCAAGCCTTTTCTTCACCAATACAATTAATATTTATACCTGTATGCATCCTTTGAGATTTCATAACCTCAGCCTTTTTTGATAATCTACTTATACAGCCGCAAAGAAAAAAAAAGATTGGTGACATTTCAGTAGAGTGTGTCTTTTCTAAGTTTTCTAAGATCATCAATGAGCAAGAAAAAAGAAACAGTCCACTCTGTTCCTTCCTGTCAGATTCTATTAAAAGGAAATTGAAAATTTGAAGCTAAGCTGTCATCTTACATCTTTCCTCAATGTATGAGGTGACTTTTGGATTAAGGTATGAGAAATGAACTACTATATAACAATTTAAAGAAAAACATAGTAGTAATACTACTAAAATTTCTATATTCTATTCACATAAACTTAAAGTGGTTGTAAAGGCTCAAGGTTTTTTTTACCTTCATGCATTCTATGCATGAAGGTTAAAAACCTTCTCTGTACAACAGCTCTCCTGCCACCCTAATACTCACCTAAGCCCTCTCTCCGTCCAGCAATGTGCACTAGAGCCTTGGCAATCACGGGACTCCCTCTCCTCATTGGCTGAGACAGCTGCGGGAGCCATTTCTTCCACTGCTGTCAATCACAGCCAGTGAGCCAATGAGAAGAGAGAGGGGGTGGGGCCAAGCCACGGCACCATGTATGAATAGACACATGGAGTAGAGGGTGGCCTCATAGCAAGATGCTTGCTCTGAGGGCACCTGACAAGAAGAAGGGGCCAGGAGCACTGGCGGGGGGACCCGAGAAGAGGAGGATCTGGGTTGCTCTGTGCAAAACAACTGCAGGTAAGTATGATGTGTTTGTTGTTTAAAAAAAATAAGCCTTTAATATCACTTTTAAGTGTTTGTAAACATAAAAAATAAAAAATTCCACTGGCTCTTAAATGTATTTCTACATGTGTTTTCCTTCCTCCTGATAGTAAACTGACCACACAAAGCATGGCAGCCAAGCTGTGCTATGTGGTCAGGCTTCAAGGTTTCTGCTCCTGTCTTTTAGATACAGGCATGCTGTGTCTGCTTCTTCTGCGGTCACAGTAAGATCACGCCCCCACCCATCCCTCCTGCCTTTACTGATGGCAGCGGCTTCCCCATCCAGCCACTCCTCCCCTCCTCTTTGACAAAAAAAAATCAATAAGTGTATATTGATTGGTAGTGCTTACAAACCACTGTAAATAGTACTACTATAAAAATACTGTGCACTGTCACTGTACTAATGACACTGGCTGGGAAAGGGTTAACATTTAGGGCAATGAAGGGGTTGTACATACTTAACCATGTGTAATGTTTGTAAAGTGTGCTGCTTTTACTGGCCGATCTCTCAGTTTATTATGCCTTTCGCTTTCTTGGTTCAGTGGTCTGTGTTGTTTACCAACACAAGAGCTCTGGGCTGTGCTTGCACACAGCCGATCAGCAGGTCCTGTCTGTGAATCATTGGCTGGGACTTGCTGACAGGCTCCCGTTGTGTGCAAGCACAGTGGGTGCTGGATGGGGAGCACACGCCTGCACCAAAATTAGGCGGCGATGTACCAGTATGTCGCTTTGTATACAGCCACAGCTCACCCACAGTGCAGTGCGGGCAGGCATTCGGCAAGCAGTTAACTAAAACAAAAACACCAAAATGTCCTATAATGAACATCTATCATCAATCGTGTCATCTTATGATGCAGATTAGCATCAAGCATAATGCCCAAAGTCTGCCAACTCATCAAAAGAAACCAAAAATACCTCCTGCTGATGCATGTCTTATCCTGAGAAACCGTGACATCATTAGCCAAATCTATAAAATCCAAAAAGAATCTGCACTCCTCACACTCTTCGATCTTGTAATAATGAGTGCTCAAAGTGAATGCCATGGATGGTTCCATTCCAGAGCTAATTGCAAAGATGTAAATTCACCAGCACTCCAAATAGACACGTTTTGTCATGTTTATTGTGAAGACTGGAACACACAAGACATAAGAAACTGATGTATCAGAGGCCTCACAAGGCTCCTTTCTTAATTCAACATACTGGCACTACTTAGAGTGCATCTTTGCAATTGACCAAATATAGTCATGTCAATATATGTTCAGTGATGTCACTTGTGAGACCTTGTCCTTTTGTATATATCAGCTGTCATCAGCCAGACCAGTTATTTGGCATGAGTGAAGCAAAAGGACCGGCTATGCATTTGTGAGCAGTATTTGTTTTGTTTTTCTGAGGGTTGGCAAGCATTGGTATCATAATTGACTGGATCTACAGTGCTGGCCAATGTGATTGATGATGGATATACATCCTGGGATTAGTGTGGCGCTCAAAATAAATAAATAAATATCAATATGTGATCAATTAATATACAAAAATAACATATAATGATTAATAAAATAAATACTCCATAAAAATAATGACCAATCCTCCTCCCTGCGACCCCTAAGGGCCAACAGGCTTGTAGGATCAACCTGGATCCTAGAATCAAAGAGGGCCAACACCTTTTCCTTCCTTCTTTGTCTTTACACTGGGTACACTGCATGTGAATTGGGACTTCCTGGTGTAGCAAGATGGCGTCGCACGCCGGAAGTGCGTCACCGCGCACCGGAGACTGCGGACTCGGTGTACCCACACATCGGTGAGGAGGGAGGACTGCTGAGATATGTGAGTTCTGCTACATTGCATTTTGGAAATAAAGGAGTCTTTAATACTACACTTAGAGGGTGTTTTCTTCTTTGGCTCACTGGATTGGTGAGCCATTGTTCTTTAAGGCACCTTGGCTGCATAAGGGAAGTAGGAGGCCCACCAGGAAAGACAAAGAAGGAAGGAAAAGGTGTTGGCCCTCTTTGATTCTAGGATCCAGGTTGATCCTACAAGCCTGTTGGCCCTTAGGGGTCGCAGGGAGGAGGTGAGGAGGCATTTTAGCCACTGTTTGGAGAAGATTTTGGCACAAATCACCCATTGAGTATCACCGTTTATTGCATGAATTGATTTATCACTTGAAGAACATTATTATATTTGATTTTTTGAAGGAACGGACATTTATGTATTCTTTTGCACTATTTTTTGGCACTTTTACACTTTTTATTAAGTTGGTATTAATTTTTTGATCACCTATATGGTAATTATAAGCATGTGATTTATTTAAGTCACTTGATTCATTTTAGAGTGTGATCACTTGAGTTATTTATGGATGCACTTATATATTTATTTGAGACACTTCGATTTTTTAGAGTGTGATCACTTGAGGTATTATTGTCATTATTTTTATGGAGTATTTATTTTATTAATCATTATATGTTATTTTTGTATATTAATTGATCACATATTGATATTTATTTATTTATTTTGAGCGCCACACTATATATATTTATTTATGTTTGTACACTACACTAGGTATTAGTAGGAGAGTGTTGGCAGCTGTACTAGTTGTTCACCATTTTTAGCGCAAGAGGATTTTTTACACTACATCCTGGGATTATTTACTTAATACAGAGACTTGTATAAAAATTTGAGTTTTATTCACACTTTACGTTTTATGTTAATGAATAGGCAGGGCCTGGTATTTTGGTGTCCCCTTACTTTTAAAGGAAGCTTCCAGATTCCAATAAGCTCCCCACTTACAGACCTTAAAACAACCAGGCTAGGGTTGTGGGGAAAAGGCCTTTGTCCTCATCAACAGGAGGAAAAAGATGCTTTGCCAGGGAGGTCCCCCCTGAAAAGATACCCCCCCCAGTGTTGAGGGCATGTGGCCTGGTATGGTTCAGGAGGGGGGTGCACACATTTGTTCCCCTACTTTCCTGATATCCCAGGCTGCATTCTCAGATAAGGGCCTGGTATAGATTTTTTGGGGGAACTCATGCATTTTTTTTTGATTTTTGCTTGAAGTTCCCCCATAAAATCGGTACGATATGTAATTTGATTGGAACCTCACACCTTTTTTCAATGGGGCCACATACAATTTTTACTTTTTACCTATAGACCTAAAGGGTCTCGTATGAATTGGGGGGATCCTAATCTGTTTTTTAATACTCTTCTGCACAATTGCTTACATGGCAAGGGCCCATAGCCTGATTAGGGCCCTCTCGACTCCTTCACAGAGCCCTAGCCCCCTTCAGAGATCTCAGCCCCTCCAGAATTGCTCTAAAATGCTTCCAGAAACCCCTATCAACCACAGTGAAATCAAGACCCAAACAAAGTCTTCTAGCCCCTTAGCCCCATCTCAAGCCCATAATGCACTTAAAAGCTTCTTACATTTTTCATCTTTCTGACACCAACCTCAGGGCATTTTTCCTCCTACTGGCCACCCAACATCAAATGTTTCATTTCCATCATTTCATTGTATGAGTTTAAACTCTTTTTTTTTTACTTTGGAGGCATGGATATGTGGGCCAGACATGTAAAGGAGGGGCCAAAAGGAGAAGGGACAGAGAACAGTGGGAAAAGGTGAATGACCAGGACAGCAGCAAGGGAAAGCCAGGGCTGTATGGCTAAAGGAGCTGAAGAAGAGGAGATACTGAGGGTGGTACATTGTGTGTGTGGCATGCTACTGATTAATGCTGATCACATATGACTCAATGTATGTACCAACATGCACACGTTTACATGGTACATGTGTAATACGCCCTTATGTACATACTGTTATGTATTGACATATATTTGAAATGCTACAATTTTGGCCATTTTCAATATATGCAAAAAAATAAATTAAAAAATGATATACAGTCATGGCCGAAATTGTTGGCACCCTTGATATTTTTCCTGAAAATCAAGTATTTCACACAAAAAAGGTATTGCATTAACACATGTTTTGCTATACACATGTTTATTCCCTTTGTATGTATTGGAACAAATATAAAACAGAGGCAGAAAAGCAAATATGACATAATGTCACACAAAACCCCAAAAATGGGCTGGACAAAAGTATTGGCACCCTTAACTTAATATTTGGTTGCACACCCTTTGGAAAACATAACTGAAATCAGTCGCTTCCTATAACCATCAATAAGCTTCTGACACCTCTCACCCGGAATTTTGGACCACTCTTCCTTTGCAAACAGCTCCAGGTCTCTCTTATTGGAAGGACACCTTTTCCCAACAGCAATTTTAAGATCTCTCCACAGGTGTTCAATGGGATTTAGATCTGGGCTCATTGCTGGCCACTTCAGAACTCTCCAGCGCTTCTTTGCCATCCATTTCTGAGTGCTTTTTGACGTATGTTTGGGGTCATTGTCCTGCTGGAAGACCCAGGATCTTGGACGCAAACCCAGCTTTCTGACACTGGGCCCTACAGTGCGACCCAAAATCCTTTGGTAATCCTCAGATTTCATGATGCCTTGCACACAGTCAAGGCACCCAGTGCCAGAGGCAGCAAAACAACCCCAAAACATCATTGAACCTCCACCATATTTTACCGTAGGTACTGTGTTTTGTTCTTTGTAGGCCTCATTCCGTTTTCGGTAAACAGTAGAATGATGTGCTTTACCGAAAAGCTCTATCTTGGTCTCATCTGTCCACAAGACGTTTTCCCAGAAGGCTTTTGGCTTACTCAAGTACATTTTGGCAAACTGTAGTCTTGCTTTTTTATGTCTCTGTGTCAGCAGTGGGGTCCTCCTGGGTCTCCTGCCATAGCGTTTCATTTTATTTAAATGTCGACGGATAGTTCGCGCTGACACTGATGCTCCCTGAGCCTGCAGGACAGCTTGAATGTCTTTGGAACATGTTTGGGGCTGCTTATCCACCATCCGGACTATTCTGCGTTGCAATCTTTCATCAATTTTCCTCATCCGTCCACGACCAGGGAGATTAGCTACAGTGCCATGGGTTGCAAACTTCTTGATAATGTTGCGCACTATGGACAAAGGCAAATCTAGTTCTCTGGAGATGGACTTGTAACCTTGAGATTGTTGATATTTTGCCACAATTTTGGTTCTCAGGTCCTCAGACAGTTCTCGTCTCCTCTTTCTGTTGTCCATGCTTAGTGTGGCACAGACAGACACACAATGCAAAGGTTAAGTGAACGTCTCTCCTTTTTATCTGCTTTCAGGTGTGATTTCTATATTGCCCACACCTGTTACTTGCCCCAGGTGAGTTTACAGGAGCATCACATGCTTGTAACATTCTTATTTATCCGCAGTTGTGAAAGGGTGCCAATACTTTTGTCCAGCCCATTTTTGGAGGTTTGTGTGACATTATGTCGAATTTGCTTTCTTTCCTCCCTTTTTTTGTTTTGTCCCAATACACACAAAGGGAATAAACATGTGTATAGCAAAACATGTGTTAATGCAATACGTTTCGTGAGAAATACATGATTTCCTGGAGAAATATCAAGGGTGCCAACAATTTCGGCCATGACTGTATATATATATATATATATATATAGAGAGAGAGAGAGAGAGAGAGAATATTCCAATATTCCAAAAATGTTTTCATATGGGACTTTACTGCTTCCACATCAATACATTTAAACAAAATGCTCACATAGTAAACTCAGCATTTCTAATACTTGCCCTACCTCCATATTGCATGTACACACTCCATTTTCTCCAACATATCTGTATCTATATCTATGGACTGTTTTGTGCTATACAATGATTTGAACATTTCCAATGGATTCCAAATGATTCTCATTAACAAATATTCAACGAGTTCACAAATATAAATAAATCGTAGTAAAATAAAATTAGTATATATGTATTTATTTTTACCTTTAGTATATCACCATCATGCAGTTGAAATGTTCTAGCTCTTAAATGGATTCCTTTTCCTGGTTGAGTCTCTATTCTGTAAATACATTCATGATTGTTGTCATAGTTTGCAGGGAAATTTGGAGACAGCAGTGTTCCTTCATTTCCGGTGATTGTTGCTCCACATTCAGCTGAAGACAATGGGTATATTAAAAACAAATGATTTAAAAAATGGTGAATTCTAATTGTACTTCATTGTTCATATAACAAAAATTACACAACTTTTTTTTAAAAAAGTGTTACAGCTATTTCTGAAGAAATACATTTAAAATGTAACATTCTAAATTCTGATTTAAAGCCACCAACTGAGATTACTGGAAATTGCATAGAGCATTCATGCACATAGGTGTAAAAGCAGTTTTAGAAAGTTAGCATCGCCATATTCACTGTGCAATTCAGAGCATTATCCTATGTGCATTGCTGACAAATACAATTTCTATATTACCTGGGAACGTATTGGGAGCAAGTGGTAGTTACCATCAAGTGATAAACAAATTGGCCAACACTAATCCCTCCCCATTCTCCAAATAATTTATTGTGTGGGAACTTACTGGGTTACAAAAAGCTTTGTCCCTTTAAACAACAGTCCACAGTAAATTGCAGCACTGACATCAAACACGGTGATCCTAACAAAGGTTAACTAGGATGTCAAGAGGGACTACCCACATTAGCTACTTTATTATATGGAGCATTGCCCCCTTAAGGGTTGCTCAGTAATTTTCAGGTTCTCTTTCTGAAAGCCCAACCTCTGCTGACACCACCGCACTCTTGTGACCAGAATAAATCTCCACTGTAAAACTGACTCACACACAAGTTAGTGTAAATCAATATGAAGTTTATATTGAATTTGAAAGTAGCTTGATCAAAAAGCACAATAAAACATTGGCATGGGCAACAAATATAATCACTCTTGTCGACGTTAAGTAAAAGTAACAGCATCCATAGTAACTGTAAGCAGGTCTGCTTTCACAAGTTCCCTATGGATAGGAATACCCAGCTAAACTTATTATTAAAGAAGGATCTCCCTAAACAATGTCTTCAGTAGAGGAGGGTTGTTAATGGATCATCCCCAGCAGAGTATCACTGACCTGGGATTCACAACCTAGATAAATTGATGCTGAGAAAAAAAAGCTTTACTTGTTTCTATCCTGAGCCCCCAGATACAGATTTACGGTACCTGTTTTTACCCTGTATTCATTTATATCAGGTAAAAATCAAATTGGCACCTATACCTAGTCTGACCTACTCTTGAGTTCTCCTTTCCCCTAAATAACAATAGCAGCAGTTTCCAGCCCCTTGAGGTTGCTTGAGTTTTCAACATTTTTACTCTTCCTGTTATGTGGCTGATTCTATTGTTTTCTTTTTTGTTACAATTCTTACAATCCAGAACTCATGTATGTAGACTACTTAGCCCTATCACTGTTCCAAATATATCTACAATCAGAACGTCAAGATATGCACTCCTTGCCTTAAAGCTCAGCCATCTATGGTACATGCTTTAGCTATCTGCCTCTCTAGTAAAATAGCTGCTTAAATTGCTTCTTATTTATCTTTGGCATTGACAGGTCTTTCACTCAATCACAAGGGTCTTATCAGCCCATATTAAAGAAAAGCTACACTATATTGCCATATTGCCTGCCTTTACACGCACGTGAACTTTAATGCCATCCCAGTCTTAGCCCGCAGGGTTCAATAATAATTGGCCCACCCTTTGCAGCAATAACAGCTTCAGCTCTTCTGGGAAGGCTGTCCACAAAGTTTAGGAGTGTGTCTGGGAATGTTTGACCATTCTTCCAGAACCGCATTTTTGAGGTCAGGCACTGATGTCAGATGAGAAGGCCTGGTTTGCAGTCACGGCTCTAATTCATCCCAAAGGTGTTCTATTGGGTTGAGGCCAGGACTCTTTGCAGGCCAGTCAAGTTCCTCAACCCCAGACTCGCTCATCCATGTCTTTATGGACCTTTGTGCACTGGTGCGCAGTCATGTTGGAACAGGAAGGGGCCATCCCCAAACTGTTCCCACAAAGTTGGGAGCATTACATATTCCAAAATGTCTTGGCATGCTGACGCCTTAAGTGTTCCCTTCACTAGAACTAGGGGGCCAAGCCCAACCCCTGAAAAACAACCCTACACCATAATCCACCAAACTTTACACTTGGCACAATGCAGTAAGGCAAGTACCGTTCTCCTGGCAACTGCCAAGCCCAGATATGTCCATCGGATTGCCAGACATATATCACCAAGTGCAATGCAAATTGTCGGATGCAGTGGTGCACGCTGCCACTGGACTCTAGAGCAGTGGAGACGTGTTCTCTGGAGTGACAAATCGTGCTTCTAAGGCTTGGATGCAGCTGCTCGGCCATGGAAAGCCATTCCATGAAGCTTTCTATGCACTTTTGTTGTGCTAATCTGAAGGCCACACAAAATTTGGAGGTCTTTAGCTACTGACTTTGCAGACAGTTGGAAACTTCTACGCACTGTGCGCTTCAGCATGCGCTGACCCTGATCTGTCATTTTACATGGCCTACCACTTCATGGCTGAGTTGCTGTTGTTCTCAGTTGCTTCCACTTTGTTATAATACCATTAACAGTTGACCGTGGAATATTTAGTAGCAAGGAAATTTCACGGATGGACTAATTGCACAGCTGGCAACCTATCACGGCACCATGCTTGAATTCATTGAGCTCCTGAGAGTGACCCATTCTTTAACAAATGTTTGTAGAAGCAGCCTGCATGTCTAGGTGCTTGATTTTATACACCTGTGGCCATGAAGTTGATTGGAACAGCTGAATCAAATGATAGTGTATATAGAGTGGAGCTAAAAACTGAAAAGTGTCCTCATGTGCATACAAACAAATTAACTTTCACTCTCTGAAACAACCGCAATTCTCACATAGGAACTTCCCACATTTTTGCTAGTGTTTCTAAGAAGCAGAGGGAAGTGGTGATTGCTATCAGGGACATTGTATCTTCCACAAGTCCTACTTTTGGATCTTGAAAATAGAATGACATTAACTTATTAATCAAAGTTTAATAGAGCAGGCAAGTGAATAGTCCATATTCATAGGTCCCCTGAAAAAAGCCTATTGGCTGAAATGCATTGGAATGGAAAATGTAGTGTGGATGTCACATTGCTGCATATCTGTCAGCAGCAGCTTTCTATGTTACAGTGGTTTTGCATTGATTTATCAGTCCGTTTGTTTGGCATGCTATGCATGTGATTTTAATGGCGCAATAAATACTACACTATTACTATCTTTGCTGACTCCTGTGTGATTTTTATTTGCTACAGCTTGGCTGGGTGCTGGGAACTGGAGAGGAAAGCACTGTGAATGGATGCATAGGTTACCCTGGATGACACATACCTATGATGATATGCTAAGCTTGCTACACAATTCCTAGCAAAATTTCTGGTGAGTGCTCATTTCATAAGGTGGTGCTTTTTTAGACTGGGAAAAGCCTGGCAACAATATGAATCTTTCATGTAGGATTTATAATACATATGTTTTCTGGACTATACAAGACTTCTTTGCACTTTACTAGCACTTTGTGCACTTCTATACATAAATACTTCATTTGTATTGTGATATCATACTGCACTTTGGGATTCATGTATTTATATTTGTGTTAATTGTTGCACTTTACATAGATATGTGATTTGCTGCACTCTGTGATTAATTATTGCACTCTGATTGTGTGGTGCTGCAGGTGTTTATTTTTATGATTTCATATGCTTTTTGTATATCAACTTCAGTACACCAGCCTGTGCATTTTTTTCCCTGACCACTGCCAATGGCTATAGCTGCCAGCAGTGTTCATTGTATTCTGCCAGTTGAGGAGGCCCTCTGATGATAGAACACAGTAGCTCTGTGGAAGAAATTCCCCCATCAACACTGATTGTGTTGGTGGGGGAGTCAAGCAATTTTCTTTCCTTCGACCTGTGGATGAAGGAAAGAAAATTGCATAATGTATGACCTGCCTTAATCTAGTACAGAATAGCTATTTGTATCTTTGATTGTTTAATTGCTACAGTTAACATTGTACTATTTTACTCTTTTTTGTGATATAAATGTTTGTAGCAAACCTTAACCAATTTTATTTTTATTTTTTTGGATTAGGAAAGGTTTAAAACCCTGTTATGTTTCCTCACTTTCAGTGCAAGATACAAGGCTCACTAGGAAAAGTAGAGAAGGTGTATTTTCCCAATCAGGATACTGTCACAATCGGGGTCAGGCTTGAAGGCCAGTGACTATAGCAGTGGAAAGGCTCACACAGAAGCCAGCAGGATAAATATACAAGGAGATTCCCCTGGTGGGTTATGTGGGCTCACCCAAAGCGTGGGGTCTAAAAACTTACTGCTCCTGATGGTGCAGATGGGTTTCTCTGTATGCTAGGGGCAGTTCAGGGTCCTCAGGATTGCCCCACAAGGAGGTGAGCAAGCCAGGGTGTAGCAGAGCATGTAACAGGTAGGGGTCAAGCAGAAGCATCGTCAGTAAACAAGTTGTTGGTAACAAGTTGTTGCAGGTTGGGATAAAACAGAAGTCGAGGAACAAGCCAAAGGTTAGTAACAAATGGTTTCAGGATGAAATCAAGCATAAGCACAGTCAAGGAACAAACCAAAGGTCAGTAACAAATGGTAATGGAGATGCAGATGGCAGCAGGAGTGTAAGTTGCAAGATGTTAAATGGAGAAGAGCACAATAATCTGGCAAACAGGAAGTGCAAAGACATGGCTAAAATAGGAACTTAATGGTAGGAATAAGGAGTTAGAAGTTCACCAGAAACAAGATAGAAAGGACGTTTGTATCTCTTTTGCTGAGCCACCTGGACAGCTCCCTGCCTGAACTCTTGAACAGACAACAATAAAACTGCAGAGTACAAAATCTTCTCCAAAATAAAGGAAAAATAGGTTTTGATTTTAGATACTTTAAAGTGACACTGTAGGTTAAAAAAATGTATTCAAGTAGGTACTCTTAACTCAAAAAAAGTACCGTCTATTGCTCTCAGCCTCCTCCAAATCCCAATTATTTTTTAAAAATAAGAATATTGTTTGCTGCACGTTTACTTGTTTTTTTTTGTAGATTCAACAGGCTCATTACATTTACAAGTAGTTCCTTTTAATAACAACTTAT